TCCCGGGACTCCAGGATCATGACCTGAGCCGAAGGCAGTCGCTTAACCAACTGAGCCACCCAGGCGCCCAGATTTATTTATTTATTTGAGAGAGAAAGAGAGCACGCGCGCAACGGAGTGCAGGCGCACAGGAGGAGGGGCAGAGGGAGAGAGAGAATCTCAAGCAGGCTCCCCGCTGAGTGCAGAACCTGATGCAGCGCCCACATGACCCTGAGATCATGACCTGAGCTAAAATCAAGAGTCGGATGCTTAATTGACTGCACCACCCAGGCACCCCAGCCAGAATGACCTTTTAAATATACAAGTAAAGGTATGTCACTCCTCTGGCCAAGAACTTCACCTCGCTCAAAACCTTCACTAAAGTCCTTTCAATGTCCAAAAGACCCTACACTATCTGACCTCCCAATACCCAATTTCCCATTTATCCTTCCTCTTTCTCATTCTGCTCAGCCTCTCTGGCCTCCTTTCTGTTCTTCACATAGACCAGTCAGTCATGCCCCCACCTTGGGGCCTTCACTGCCGTTCCCTTTCCCCAGTGTCACGGGCCTCTCACTTCCTTTGGGTCCCTACTCACCACCTTTCCAGTGAAATCACCACCTTTTTACTGAAATCATCCCTGATTATCCTACTTATGATTGCAAGTCCCTCTGCCAGCCCTCCCAAAGCATCTTCCCTGCTTCATTTTTCCACTTATCACCTAACCTACCATCTGTGTGTCTTGTTTACTACCGTTCTGTACCCACGAGAATAGGAGCTCTATGAGGGCTGGGATTTTAGTCTGCTCTGGGCACAATGTAGGCACCCAATACATACTTAAACGAAAACTGGGACTAAAGTGAACTCAGCCTGCTGATCCTGGGATCCTGGGTTCTTTGATACCAGCTCCAGAGCAGAAGGGTTTTGTTTTGCCATGTGTTAGCTTAGTCAGTTACAGGCTAAGGACCACGCTGGGCCTGTTGGGACATAGTGGTGATCAGGGCAGGCAAGGACTGCGCTGGAGGAGCTGACATCCTAGCTGGGAAGACAGCACACATTCACTGATATTCTACTATGTGTCAGGCGCTTAGGTTTAAAGAAAGATGCTCTTTTACCATATGGAGCTCACAATGTGGAGGGAAAGAAGATGACTAATATCACCGGTGACACAGGCCTGTGGGATAAAGGGGTAATGGGAGTAAGAGACACTGGCAAGGTAGAAATAACAGGACTAGATGAATGATTACATGTGCGGATGAAAAGGAGAAATCAAACAGGAGTCTGGAGTTGAAGTTTAAGGAAAACAGGTAAATTATGGTGTTTCAATCCAGACAGCCAGACGAGAGGCAGGGTTGGGAAGCTGCAGGTCTTGACTCTCAATACTGGAGTGGTCAAACGGCCTGGGGGTACGTTCTGGCTCAGCCACTTTGTAGCTGTGTGAACACTAGAAGAGAGACAAATCTCTGAAGAAGTCTGTTCTTTCTGCTGTGAAGACAGTACTTCTTACTTGCAGAGTTGGAAGAATTCAGTCTTTCTCTCTCACAAACGTACACATGGATACCTATTTGAATAAAGCTCACGCCTAGTACGGGGCACACTGAAAATCCTCAGCCAACTGCTATCATTGCTGGTATTCATTCATCCTAGCACTAACCTAGGAAGACAGGCAGCCATTTGTTTTTATTTCAGATGTTATAATAAACACTGCGGACACTGAAGCAAATAAGATGGACAAGGTACTTGTTCTTACAGGGCTTGCCTTCTGGTGGGTAAACAAATCTACAAATAAGGTGATTTCTGAGTACAAAAAGGGCCATGAAGAAAATAAGACCAACTATTTACGAACCAGAACGTAAGTTCTCTGGGACCGAACACAGGTGGCAGGTGTGGGAGGGGCAGCCTCAATCAGGTTGTCGAGGACGGTCTCCAAGGCCTGCATGAAAACAAATCAGCCGTGCAAAGGTTTGGGATGGG